ACCTGGGTAGGGAACACCTTCAGCATCCAGCAAAGATTGAAGTGTACCATCTTCTCCAATGCCTCCATGCACTATAAGTAGCAAAGTGTAAAACATTGTTAAGACATACACAATCAATTTTGTAAACCTGCACTCCATGAAAGTTGATCTATTCATTTAAAATAAATTGTTAAAAAACTGTGAAAAGATTGTGCCATATTCTGATCAGTATCGCTATTAGACAAATAATGAGGGACTTATAGACCACTATGGAATAGATTACCCCATGACTATTATTGTTTTACTGTTTCTCAGACCTAACAACTTTTTCCCCTATAACCTTGTTTGGATCTACCTTAAGAAATAACTCGTGATTATCTTGAAACATCACATCAAAATAATGTTTGTGAAGATGATGCTCGAAGAACACTTCATGTTGATACTGACAGCTAACTATGCATCTCCAATCATATATAAATATGAACATTGAAACATTTTATCCTATATTGTTAGAAACCAACATTGGCAAGTGGATCAAGTACCAGAAGCTCAAATAGATAATGAGCCTACATATAAGATTGTGAAAGAATACGTGAGAGGTGCTAGAGATGTTTGGCTGAAAGGGAAAGGGAAGAACCATGTGCAAGAGGATGTGGTTAGTTAGACGTGTAAGAAAGAGAGCAGACGTAAGGGGGAATTCAATTATTGAGAGAGGGTATGGAATCCTTGTGACACAGGAGTGCCTCACTGTACTGCATAGGCTTGGAGGTGCATTGCGACTTCCGAGAATCATTCATTCATTGTTCCCTTTTTCATACTTGAATAATGCTTTTCATATTCAGATTAATATTGTTTTTATGATTAGTGAGAGTGTACCATTATCAACAAAGTAAATTGGAGTTAAAAATTTAATCACTAGGAAATACTTTTGGCTTTTATTACCTGCAATAAAAACTGTTGCCTGGACTTCCTTGGCTAGCTTGATCCACTGTCTTAACGAAAATTTCACAGGCACATCATCAGCAATATCAAACCCTGTAAACCAGTTGTGGTCCTTCAAACCCTCCATAAGATCATTCATAACTTTCTTCCGTAGGTTAGATGTTATTGCAGCTCGTTCTGGCTCAATTGCTTCCACGCATGCATCCAGTACCTCCTCAGTAGTATGTCGTAGCACAAGAGAATAACTATACACAAATAATAGCTATCAAATTATCTCATTCTAACTACATTATGAACAGGTCCCATGCATAAATCACAGTCAACTCAAATATTACTGATCATGGATTGAGTGCTTATGTCAAGTTACTTAACACAATTTTTTGGTTCTAAACTGGAATGCACCATTAATTGGATACATTTTTTTATTGTAATTGATGATTTCATAATCCTATTGACAAAAATGATAAATTTACTTTCTTGAGCATAATATAGTTTAAGAGAAACCATGAACGCAAATAGAAGTTCAAAAGGAAAACTTGATGAAGGTTGCAAGCAGAATGTAACATTTTGTTAAGGACCAACTCTCTGAAAAGCTTGGGCTATTATATGGACTTCCAAAATGATTTTAGTTCTTTGACAAAATTTCTCATCCAAGATTCCTTTAGGATTGAAGTGTAGAATTTCACTTAAGGTTAAATTTAATTTAGTCATGAAGAATGGAGGTGGAAAAGATCAAATTTCACCACTTGATCATTGAGTCTTTGATATCATGCTAGTGACCAACTCTCCTAAAAGCATTAGCTAATAGGTGGAGGCCTGGGAAGTTTTATAAATAATATCTGTCTAACAACTTATTCCCATGTGCATTTTCAAAAATCAAGGACAAATCTTGAGGTAAAGAAAAGGAGTAATACTTACGGTAATGACCAAACTGTTCTATTCATTACGTCATCGGCCTTCTTTCCAATATCAGCACTTGAAGCACACTCACTTGTAGGGGAAAGCAAACATGGCATTACCTCAAGCTGTAAGAACAAATGATTTTAGTCTGACATATCATATGTACGACATTAGTCTTTTCAGGTAGTAAATGCCATAAGTTTAGAGTGTAACAGTTCATACTTCTTAGTCAAGTGCACAAGACCTTCATCATCTTGAAAATTATATATTAGTTGCTAAAAGTAAACCAAAATTTTACATTTATGAAAAACTTCAATCCTAAAATAACCCGTACTTCCACTAAAAAAATAAATTAAGAGATCCAGGATATGTGTGATATATTTGTTAAATCACATCACATGATGATTCTGAAGGTATGAAAATATACAACAGCTAAAGTAAACTAAGTGCACAAGTGTCAAATTAAAGCCTATACATTTCTCTTAAAAAAATGTAAAAATAAGAACATTAAATTTAAAGTTCAATGAAGCAACTAAACTTCAGCAGTTTTCAGCAGATAGATTATCAAAGCATTATGTACAGAAACTTTAAGGCTTCCTGATTGGGGACACTTACATCATGGAAGGCTAGCAAATTGAGCCAGACATTTGTACCACTCATAAGAGATACTTGCCGTTCTGATGTGTCACCTCCAAAAATGACAAAAACTTTTCGAGCTCCCTCATGGAGAGAAAATGACTTGTTAAGCGGTAAGGATTTTGACCTGCTTGGCAGCTGACCTGATATACGACTAATTGATGCAAGATTTGGAAATCGCAAGCAAGCATGATGAATGATGCTTCTAAGTATGTTTGTATGAGAAAAACCAACCTGAATAACATAAATAGCCTTTTCAAGTAGTGAACGATAGGAATTGTCCATGCAATCATGCATAAATAAAAAGTGATTTAAGTGGTCAGTGTCATGTTTGCAGAACATCATGCTTCAAATATACAAGATATTTAGACAGAACGAACATTTTGTAAGCTAGAGACAGAAGACAACAGTCCTTTGCTGAACAAGGGTATTTGGACTCAGAGATACGTTTATGTAACATTAGTTATTCCTTTCCTTAACCAATGACCTTCTTTGTACGTGTTCAAAGTTCAAACTACCCTAACCAATTTTTTGTAATCTTTTCCTTAATTGGTGTGAATCACACCAATATCTCCTCATATACAATCACTTTTGTATTCTGTCATTTCTTTTTGTGGTCACACATCCATCTTAGCATATTCATTTCTACTACTTTCACTTTTTTCTCTTACTGTCCCTTTAAAACCCAACATTCACTATCATAAAATATAACTTGTTGTATAGCAGTATGAAAAAACTTCCCTTTGCGATGGCGATAAACAACCCCTGATGTCTTTCTTTGTTTAACACAGATGAAAAGATTAGTTTAAAACATAAATTGCATGCAGATAAATACAAAACAATTACACACACATAACTATGGCAGAAGTGCCTTTGGAAAATATAGGGAAATACGGATATTCAGTATATTCAATACAATAAATGTGATGCAGACACATCCAGAAGCACCTTAGAAGCTTGCTGGAAAAGAAAACTGGTTTGTTCCATACCGCTGATCTGAAACATTCAATGATGTTAACTTTCAGAACACTTGTGAACAACCAACATTAGTAGTAAAATAGCTAAAGATATTATCTGCTTTTTTCCAAAGGAAGAAAATCATCTCACCAGGTTAATGTCAGTGAATATTATGGCACCAGATTCAGTCCTTCCAAACTCACTTTCTGAAGATGCTGAGAACTTGGAACCTGAATTTGGCAAATACCATCCATCAATTCGTGCAAAATCTTGCAGGCCTAGCCATTGAAATAACAGAGATGCTCCTTTGCGAATATTCTCAATTACATCCAAAGGAAACCGTGGTGGAGTGTGATAAGCAACCTGCAGACGGTATATGCTTCATCTGATTAAGAAAACACTATCCAGCGCTGGTTGAAAACAAATACTAGATATACTGAAGGGAAAAAAAATAAGTCACTTGCTGCACTATTTTTAAGATCAGCAAGCATGTGCAGTATATCTTGTGTGCATATAAACACATTCACACTGCTACTGACCTGTTGAGTTGGAAGGTACTTCCTGCGGTAATTAAATATCGCATCATTCTCTTTCACATCATTTGCACCACGGAATTGAAGCTCTACCTGTTCATCTAAATTCCACTATTACTACTACTGAGTATGAAAAATTTATTGGGCAATAGCTATTCGCAATTGCCAGGTACAAATGCTTGAGTAATTTCACTTCAACTTGGCAGCAACAGAACTGATTCATTTGTAAAAAAGAAAAAAGAAAAAAAAAAAAAAAGCAATCCCAACTAATATCACTGAATTTTCTGTCATGAGTCATGTCCAATTTATGGCCTTGAACTGCATCCCAGAATACATCATATTTGCTCAAGTTGAAAATTCCTTTCATTTTCTTCATTTGAATATTTTTGAAAAGGGAATTCAGTAAGGTTCAGTTTGATTCCCTGGAATGATTTAGTGGAATGAGAAGGAAAGGAATGGAATAATCATTATCTTTAGCATGTCTCGTTCAGTCTCATTCAGTCTAGAAAAGAATGGCTGTTCCATTCTAAACCAACATCAGGTAACCGGTACTTGAAATTAGACAAGAATAGGAAAAAATATTGTTGATTAGAAAATCTACTTGGTGGTTGTGGCAGAAGTGAAGACAGAGTATATTTTATCATTTTAAGAAAAGACAGTATATTACGGGAATTCCAATCAATCCAGTTTGAATGGAATGGCCATTCCATTCAGTTTTGGAGGGAAGAGTGAAATTCAGATTCCCTAAGAAATGATCATTCACATTATAGAGTTTTTCAAACAGAATTTTAAGCCATTCCTATGTCCCTTTTCATTCTCAGTTTCTCACCAAGTTCATTCCATTGAATCAAACAGGAATTGATACTTTCTGCTGTCTCATTTCAGATACTCAGTCCTCTCTAAACTAATGTATACAAGTATGGAGATTTTAGAATTTCAATGAATAAACAAGAAATGCCAAGGTAGAAAAGAAAAAACATACCTCAGTTGGAAGTAGTACAACAGGACAATGATCTGAACCAGATCCTACATCAAGGACAATGGCTGTAAACTCACTCCCTCCTTCAAGAAATATTTCTATTAGCACTTTATTGTCAATTCCCTATTACATTCGAAATGAATGATCAGTACCAAAAGTTGACAACTTGACATATATTATAAGAGATTTTCAGTTTTTTACTTCACATACTTCTAGTCAAAATGCATTTCTCCATAGTTTTCTCCAAAATCATTCTCCTTCATTTTTTTATTTTTTTTTTATATTCATATATAGGTATTAACTGCTTCTGGATCTTAAAAGTAGTCACGTTATAAAAGTGTATGCTCCCATTCAAGCAAAAAAGTTTATCAACAATACCTCAGACATAATTTCATTGGCTTTTACAAGAGAATCATTCACACCATATGCAACTCTAACACCAATGCTTGACCCTCCTCTTGTTGGTTTTACCTGATACAAGAAATTTTATAACATCAATAAGCATAAAAAAAATAATAAAAAAACCTCACAATGAATTAACAATGAAACTCTAATGACTGAACTAAATTAAGTGCCTTACCACAACTTTCCCCGAGTTAGGGTCTATCTGGTGCTTTATAAACCATTCTGATAGTTCTGATTTGTTTGTTTCATGCCCCTAATAGACGTCATATTATAAAATATATGTAAATGAGAAAATATGGATGTATTGGTGTTTAAAGACAGATAGCACTTTCAAAAACAATTAAACGTGGGTGAAATCTAACATAATAAAATACAGATGTCCAATTATCTAACACTAAAAACACAAGATCATGCAGACTTTCTTAACACATAATACCTGAACCAAGAAACTGGGTACTGTTATAAATCCAAGCTTCCGAAGCTCCAATGATGCTTTATGCTGACAATAATTTTAAGGGAAAAAAATTAGTTCCAGAGGTACAGTCAGTCAAACTAATCAGTAACAAGATTACAAGCGATGGAAAAGGTGATCATCTTCTGTGTAAAATGAGGATGTCTCAGTTTTAAAAGTCTCCATAAAGTTTTTCCAACTAACTTTCTCATATACCACAATCAGCATCAAAAAATTAAGTGTGCATAATCTAAATCCTAAATAAAAGCTTTCAAATCATTTAATTCTTAGTATATGATGATCATTAAAGGTATACAACCGAATCTATGTTGGTAAGAAAATGTGAACCAATCCTAGATATTAATGTGCGTCTGCATTCCAGTTATGATAAAGAGAACAAAATACATGTAGGAGAAGAAACATAACAAAATACATATGTCCTATACCTTGTCAAATGCTTGGCGGCATTCATTTGATCCTGTGCCAACAAATGGAACATTATACTTTTCCAGCAATTCCTATTAATATTTATCACAGAGAAATACATTCATGAATACACAAGTTCCTTATAACCTGGAGGAATTCCTTACACATGTACACACCTGAACGCCACCATCTTCACCAAATTGACCATGTATAACTGGAAATACTATGTCCACAGCTGTAGCAAGATGCTTTGCCAAGTCATCCAAAGTCTGGAAACTTTGGGCAAGGCTGCAAATTCAACAAGTGGCTATCTTTACTCTTGCAATTTCAAATGGAAATTATTCCATAGTATATAAGGGAAAATTGAAAAGGAGAAAATATTATTAAAAATATTTCCATCTTAGGAACATTTAACCACACAAGTGATTTACTGAATTAATGAGTGGTAATTCATTAACCACTCTTTGAACATTGTTGAACAATTGCATGGCTAATTATTCCTAAATCGGAAACACTCTTCCCAAGACTTCCCTTATTGTAACTTTCAATACTTGGAAAGGGTACACTAACCTTTCAAGTTTAAAATCAAAATCATTAGGGGTGTTGGAATATACCTGTAAAAAAGATATGGAAATAAGAAAAAATGGCTTGAATGAGACAGACAACTTTTTCTTTTCTTTTTAATTGTTTTTGTGATCCCAATTCACTTTGGACTAAGTTATTGAAAACATGGCACTAGAAGCTTTAGCTTGCTAGTTTTTGTTGAAGTTACAAGGTTTTAGAGAGAAAGGAAAGAAAAGAAAAAGATCATAATCTAGAAATTATGAATATGATTTGATACAATGATCTTATTCAAAAGGCTAAGGCACTAACCCTTATTTATACTAATTAAGAGACTCCTATTTGTACTTAAAATAAGGAATCAAATCATTATGATTACAAGATATTCTAGGATTAGAAACTAACCCCGAAGGATAATCTAAGAGAACAAGCTCATCCTAAGAGGTAGTTTTCCCAATATTCTAACAGATTCAAATCCAGAATGTGATCAATTCAGTGATAGATAGTTGAAACATGAAACAACACATTGATGAGAAGTACAAAGACAGAAAGTTATGCATTGATTAGTTGAACTAGAAACAGGAAAACAACTTGCACATGTATAAGAAAACCAGACAAAACCAAACCAAATGAGAGATCATAGAAATAATTGAGCCAGAGGCCAAATATCTAATATTCACTTACTTGTATCTGTGTTTACTGGGATTAATAAGGAGTTATGTAGTATAAAACTTTATTAAGTTAAAATTGCACATTTCTAGTGATGTTTTTGAGGAATAAGGAAGTATTGGGTAGATAAAAGAATAACCAAATTCAACTAGTATTTTGCCATATGTAACTGTGGCTTGTCCAGCCTTGTTTGGGTTCAAATTTTCTACTATCTAATTGATCATATTATATACAAATTTAGACTTCTTCAGGTTAGAATTTCTCATAGCTCTATATTCCAATCAGCATGGTGAAAAACTATAGTTCAACAGAAAGGGAGCTCATGCAGCATGATTTTGGGAAACATATACTAACCTGAGCAGAAGAAATTGCATATGCATTGAGATTGCAATCAATATAATAGCAACTCACGTGTAAGTCATCTCCCTGGAAAAAAATGAGACTAATAAATAAGAAATAAATAAAGAAAACAGAAAATACCCCTTAGCTGTTTCCCAAATTAGCGCATACAATTACACAAGAACCATCTCACTGCCCACCTAAATAACTTTTTTTTATTATTTAAAGCCAAAACTACTTGCAGCACTTTTTGTTTATTAAGGCAAAAAAATGGAAAAGAAAAAAAATAAAAGCCCCAGCACACAACATATTATCAAAACAACATTAGGCAAAAACATAAAATGAGAAAGAAATGAAAAGATAGAGTAAACCCTAGTGAACTCTCAGAATTGCAAGATACTAGTAGAGTAAATTTACTTAAATTTCATTGTTTCTTCTCCACTACTTTTCAAACACAATATACTCTGAGTATAAATAGAACCTAGAAGTGAATTAAAGAAACAACATAATTAACTTGTAAGAGTTTGAATTTTCATAATCCAAGGCTTAATAAAATGATTTCAATTAGAATGCAGTGATATCTTTGATGATCATCCAGTCATAAATTGTCATATATGATAAGATTATTGATATCAAATAATACCAACTCAACTAGTAACCAACATGACACTAACCAAATTATTCTTGAATCCATCTATCATCAGAATCGTATGAAATGGGAGGATGTTTCAATCAACTATATTTTGTTTGATTGATAAATCTAACTTTTTTTTTTTTGTTAAGATATTGTGAAAAATTATTAGGATTAATTATATCTTAGCTAATCATATCATATCATATCATGTAAATCTTTATTTTTTCATTATAAATAAGAGTTATGTGTGTTGAAGATTGACACACAATTCCTAAATCAAAACACGTATCTAGAGCTCAGAAATTTTTTTTACTGTGTGAACAGTACCTGCATGTGAATAGTACTACGTGTGAACAGTACCCACACATGTCGTTTTTCGACAATCCTTCAACTATGGTCGACTGCCTCCAACGACCCTATTTGGCTCCATTTGACCTCTGCTTGGCCTTGTTTGGTTTCGGTCCCTCTCTACCTTATCTCCTATGGCTGCTCCTACTTCTACTTTGTCCATGACATTACCAATGTTTTCCTGATTTTGTGTGAGAAATTGACCGAATTGGCTAATTACACGAGCTGGGTAGCCACAATTCAACCTTGGTTCCGTGGTCAAGGACGTGCCAACCACTAGATCACCAAAGCTTTTGCCATCGTTGTAGACGACCAAGCCCAATGGTAGCAAATTGAAGCTTCACTGTGTACGGTTCTTTGGGTTTCCATTTCCTCAACCCTTCAACATTCGTATCAGGCTTTCAACACGTGTTATGATGTATGAACCAAGGCCAAGAAAGTTTACGCTAATGATGTTCAACGCCTTTACAATGTTATCACCACCATGATAACCACCAAGCTTGAAAATATGGACATGCAGACATATTTGAGTAAGCTCGACTATCTGATCACTAACTACAACAACTTGATGCCTTATCCCTCTGATAAGGAGACTTTTGAGTAGCAATGACACCATATTTTATGATTCTTCCACTTCCTAGTCTTCCGCCTAAGCTTGAGTCTATTCGTAATCAGATTTTGTTTGTCCCGCCAATACGACACGATTAGTGAAGAGTTGTTGTGTCTCTCAATTACCCATACTGTGGTCAATCCCTCTGCATATTCTACTAACTCTTTTGTTCTTATTTCACACTCATCTGATCATGGTAGTGGACGTGAAGGCGACCATGGAAAATAGAATCATTGTTGTAATTACTATCACGTTTTTTGTCATATTGAAAATGGTTGTTGCAAAAAGGTCCAAGGCCGATTACAATCAACAAATGTTGCCCAAGTGACTAGTGCTACCTCTCCTGTAGATGTCACTATTTCTACCTCTAACTACAATGATTTTCTTCAGTTTCAAGCAGCCCAACATTTTGTCTCACCTGTCACTACCATAACTTAGTCTAGTAATTTGTAGCCTTTATTTCTCAATCTCTTTCTTTTGGACCTAGGATTCTTGACTCTAGTGGTTCTAATCATATGATCGGTAACCAATCTCTTTTCTCTCACTTGTCTTTCTCAACCTCCTTGGCATCTGTTACTCTTACAAATGGTTCTCAGATTAAAGTTCATAGCATTGGTCAAACACACTCAATCCCTAATTTCCCTTTACATTCTATCTTGTTTGTTCCTAGTTGTACTTTTAATTTAATTTCCATTAGCAAATTCATTCATACCCTTAATTTTTTTGTCTTGTTTGTTAATAATTTTGTTCTTATTTAGGATCGACATACTGGACAGACAATTGTAGCATGACATGAGTTTGGGGGATTGTATCGTCTTTCACCACCACTTCTATCGATCTTGCTCATCAGCATCTTGTTCATCCAAGCTTGGGAAAATTGTGTCTTTTAGTTCCTAGTTTTTCTACGATGAGATCCATCTAGTGTGAGCCATGTCATTTATGGAAACATGTTTGTTAGTCTTTTAGGTCTGGTGTCAATAAATGTTCTACATCACCTTTTACTTTGATTCACTCTGATATGTGGGGACCTAGTCGAGTCAATTCAACTTTAGGTTATTCTTATTTTGTTACGTTTGTTGATGATTTTTTGTATTACACTTGGATTTTTTCAATAAAACATCGTTCTAATGTTTTCAATATTTTTCAGTTTTTTCACTGAAATTGCTACTCGATTTAGGACGTTAATTAAAATTTTACGCACTAATAATGCCAAAGAATATTTGTCTTCCAAATCTCAGTCTTTTTCTCTTATCATAGGGTGTTCTTCATTAGAGGACAAAGACAATTCCAAAATTGTCTGTTACTCTGATGCTGATTAGGCAAGATCACCATCAGATAAAAGGTTTACCTCTGACTATTGTGTTCTAATTGGAGGTAACTTGATTTCGTAAAGAAGCAAGAAGCAAAATACAGTTGTTAAATCCAGTGCAGAAGCAGAATATCGTGCTATGATAACAGATGCAAGTGAAATTGCATGGCTACAAAAACTTCTAAAGCAACTCCAAATTGGACATACTCAGGGAACTAAATTCATCTATGATAATCAAGTTATTTTTCACATTGCCTCCAATTCAGTCTTCCATGAGCGAACTAAGCACATAAAAATAGACTATCATTTTGTAAGAGAGAAAGTGCTCTCAGGAGAGATCACAATTGAGTTCGTCCACTTCAATAACCAGTTAGCAGATGTGTTCATAAAATCGCTTAAAGGACATCAAGTTAATTACATTTGTAACAAGCTTAGTGCATATGATATATATGCTCCAGCTTGAGGGGGAATGTTAAGATATTGTGAAGATTTATTAGGATTAATCATATCTTACTTAATCATATTATATCTATGTGTGCTAAAGATTGACACCCAATTCCTAAATCATACCAATTTTTATGCAACAAAAAATCTAATAGTTCAAGGAACTTGTTATTATATTAAGAGAATCAAACTCTCAATTTTTTCAAAACAATTAACAAATTGATCTCCCCACTCATGAAAAAATTTAATTACAATATATAGAAATTCTAGCCCTTATTGGTACAAAGAATTTCAGGGAAAATATCTCAAAAATTAATGCAAACTAAATTTGAGATAATACTAATGATTATTATCCAAAAATAAAACAATCAAATTTTTACTACCATATAGTTACAACACCCAGTATCAAGACTAAAAAGAAAGTTTCCTAATTAAGTTAAATCCTTAGAATTATTTTAAAATAAAAAAGAACAAAGCTTAACTATAGTTCCATACATACTTTTGGTGTTGTTCTACAATTAAAGTTGGAGTTTCATCTTTAGTAATATGCATTTATATTTATTGCATGATACAATTCTTAAGTTGTCCTAAAAATATTTAATGATCATGAACTGTTAGTGTACAAATTTTTACATTAGCAACCAATAAAAATCATTATTGATATATCTTTTAAGGTAAGTATCGTAAAAGTCAACAACCTCACTATACATAATGATTTGTATGCATAGTTATTTGTAATTGAATGACAATATAAAATTACTTTATAAAAAAATGCATAGTCTTTTTTTCTCAAAAATAACATGAAACTAAAATAAATAGTTAACTTTTTACTCCCCAAAATATAAAAAGTAACAAAAAAAAAATGAAGCAATTTTAATATCTTAGCAAATTGAAGCTTGACTATTATGTAGTTCTCTCATTGGGCATCCATGTCCTAGCTTGAGGCCAGGTTGCTTGAATCAACTAACTTAGTGCTTTCTTCCATATCTTCAAACGTGTCCTTACACTATCCATCGTCTCATCAATATCATCATTAACTTTTGAAATAGCTACTTTATCTTCTAACTGATTAATGGGTAAACTAATTCCATAGGCTCACCAAAAACCAAATTGTAATAGATTCAAAAAAAAAGTGTGTACCTGCAAGTGATCAAGAACTGATCTAGCTGAATTGAGCGAAATCCCGCGCTCAGCGGAAGGACCGCCACATATGAGACCCACCTTCAACACCCTCCCCTTCTCCTTCGCCTTCTCAGCCGCTCCACCGCCAACCACCGCCACCTCACGCGAGGAAGCACGTGTCAGGGCCGAGACACGTGCGGCACGGCACGTGCTGGCCGACCTGAAGAGTTTGACAGAGCCACCGGGCGAGGAAGACGAGAACGAGCGCGTCTCGGTGCGGCGGAGAACGGCGAAGTTGGAGGCAGCGCCGGCGAGCGATGACGTGGCCATGAAAGGGAAGTGACCAAAGCGTGGAGCGAACTAATTAACGTAACGATAGTATGTTTGTGTTACGCTGTGACTGTGAGAGTGGAAATGCGCGCTATTATTTATGTTGTCACATTTTATCATCGTAAGTAAACTAAATAACATAGAAGAATAACGACGTAAACTCTCTTAACACAATTTTTTTATTCGGTAAAATTTATTTTAAAAAATTATAAAATTAAGATAGCATAAAGGTGATAGATTTTGTGTTCCCGAGAACAATTTCGATCGGTGGTAAAATAATATTAAATTGGCAAAAAGAATGTTTTATAAAATAATATATATATATATATATAAGTCATTAATTTTATATTTTTTAAAAAAATAATTAATTAAAAAAAGCATATTAATATCAACAAATAGTTAATAAAAATGGTATCGAATTGAATTTTCTTAAGTAATATTAATCAATTTTTTATATGAAAACTAATCTATAATAAAATTGGTCAATAATTGACACCAAATATATAATTATAAAAATAAAAATTAATAAAAAGAAGTGTATTAGAAAATATAATAGAACATTTATCTTAACATGGTTTGTTTGTTGGAAAGGCATGGTGTGCCAACAAGAAAGTGCCAAGAAGAGTGTGCTTAAGCGGTTGCAATACGACAGGACAGCAAGTTTTTTTGTTTTTTAATTGTTTCGGACGGCAACATACGCTAGAAATTTAGAATGATCAACAAGAGTGCACCTTGGATAAATGTTTTTTTTTTCTTCATAATTGTACTTGTATGGTGAATTGAGTATTATTAATTAAAGTTTGGTTTAATCGAATATTATAATTTATATTAAAAGAATATAATTAAAGATAACTTGTAAGAGCAATTATTTATACCTATTATAAAAGAAATAGGTATGTAATTACTTTTGATCTAAGCAAGTTTATTACGTTAGAACTGTATACATAAGGCAAGATTCGAATCCATAATCTTGTTTAAGCGTGAATCAACCCTTATCGCTGAACCACACACTTGGATTATTATACTTTTTAAATGTAAAAAAAAAAATATTGTATTTTTTAAAATAATTATATGCAATCTTTTAATATTTTGTTTGTCTATAATTATTAAAGGCATAAAGTGCCTCGACCATTCTAATATCTATGAAAATAATAGGTTTTGATAACTACCATTTTGGTTTTCATTTTTTGTTTTTGACACTATTTTCTTTAGATTTAATAAAATCTATTTTTTTAAAATATTTTTAAAATAAGTATATAGAGATACAAAGTGCTTCTTTTCTTACTAGTTACACATAATGAAAAAACGATTATTGAGTTCATGGAGGTAACCGTCATGTTTTAAATAGATAATGATAAAAATTAGAAAAATTAACTTGAGAAAAATAAAAAAAATAAAAAAAACTTAGAAGAGAGTTATAGATAACTCAGAAATTTGAAAGGAAAGGAAGTGTATTCTAGATTTAAGGTTTACCGTTTAGTGTCCAAGATATAGGATATTTATATCAATTTGTGGAAAAAGGAACAATAATATCTAAAAATTCAAATATGTAGGGATTTGCAAATTAATTTCATCTAAATTTTAAGAGTAATTTTATATCCTTTTAAAACTTCTGTACAAATTGTCTTAATAATTTAAAATATTAAATAAATAGTAAACACATTTAATGTCTTAGAAATATAAATAATTCAATATCTTATAATAAAAAATTGAAAGATTAATAATTAAATAAATAAAATAGAGATTCATTTGTTACAAGGATAACTCTTCAATAACTATTTAGTTTTAATGATTTAACTATTTAAATTAAAAGTTTAATATATAGATCAAGATTATAATTATTTTTTGCAAAATATATAACCTATATAATAATTCGTTATATATATTTAAATTAATGTATAAGATGTTTTTATGAATATATATATATATACATTAATTTAAATTAATGTAATGAAATATTAAATAATTTTTGAATTTTGTATAAATATGTAGACTTAATTTAGTCATTAAGAACTTTTAATTTAACAATTAAACCATTAAAATTTAATAAAAACCGTAAATTATTGAGTTGAGAAATTCTATTCTATGTAAAAAAAAAATATTGTAGGATGATCTTCTTAAAATCACATTGTATCAAGATTTAACACATCGAAAAATAGGTTCGTAAAAGCCATAAAAAATTGTGGTACGAATATCATTCTAAAAATTATTTTACTATACTTACCATTAAATAATAAAATATGAAATGATATATTTTAGTGACAATTTGTTTCGGTTGAAAAAAATTACCATTTATCTTCATTAATTTTGCTGACATTTTGTATAAAAAAAAATGATTTACAAAATCTTCATTATCACTAACATGGCATCTTCATAATTAACATGATGTTCATTATCTTTATTAAAATGTTTTACAAAATGATTATGCATAAGTTACCATCTTTTTTTTTCTATCGAGGAAAGATGGTAAAAAGGACGTGACATCCTAATTCCACGGGACAAAACACTACATGCTAAAAAGCCCAACAAAGCCACAATTCCTAAACTTACTTCACAATTATATCATGAAAAACTTTATTCAATTATAAATTTGTAACTACTTAACTAATATTGAGCCTCACAAGATAAGAAATGTCCGAGCAGATTATGATTCTCTTTTGCTTGTCATTGATATATGACAGAAGATTGACTGTGTCAAATAACACGTTATTGTCAAGTTATTTATTCATAACAAACATGTCGTTACAAATTGCAGAAAATACAATATATGTAGTATACGTCATTATAGTGCAGTGATTGTTAATTTCTGTCGTCATTTTGCGAAATTGCAAATTATTAAAAAAAGGGATACACATGTCGTGAACGAACGAGAAGGAGACCATTTTAGTTAAGAAAAAACTCAAAAAGTTAGTTACATATTCTTAAATATGATTTTGATGTTTTCCCATTAAAATTAAAATTTTATTTTAATATAATAAACATATTAATGAGATTTATAATAAATATAAATATATAATACTGAAATAAAATTTAACATCAACTGTAATTAAAGAATTATAATTATGTTTTATCCTTTTAACTATAAAAACAAAAACAAAAACAAACATTGGAAATTTTGTCGTGAACTGAGGTACGTGTACCAATTATTTGGAGTTAGGTTACAGCGAATATAATATTGAGGTAGGTGCAAAATGACTCAAACATCACTTAATCACAATAAATAAATAAAAATTAATAAAAATGTGAATGATTACAACGCCCGATTATCTTTGGAAGACCAGTTAAAATTAAGAGTTTAATTTTTCGTATAAATTTTTAAAATTATGTATTAATATGACTAAAAATGGTTTAGGGTTTACTCTCGTTCTCTCAAAACAACTCCCTCAAGTGTCACACTTCTTTATTATATGATCGACCGTACATGATTCAGCGAGCAATTAACAATCACAGGTATTTGCTCAAGATGTTGTCATTATATAATCATAATAATAATAATAATAATAATAATAAAATGTTCCGGTATTGGAGACCGCCGCCGAAGAACCCTTAGCGATACCGAGCTAAAAGAACTTGACAGCAGTCTTGACCTAGAACATTCGATGAGAGTAACCTACTTTCTTAGACCTAATCATTGCTATATATAATGGTGTAGCGTTACAGACATGAATCGCACACTCCTCTTTATGATCTCATAAATCACGTCCCATTGTGGACTCATAACTCCCGGTCTTTATTACCGTTCCTACGGATTGTGGGATCTTATTGATTGTCTGAGTGAACCAGTGAATCTTCGTGGACTCGGCATTTTGTCGATGTGCCTCGGGTCCGCCAATGGGAGACCACTACGGTACATAGCCCTCCATGCTCAAGCACTAAAGTGCGAAGAGCATGTTGGGTTGGTATTGCGTAGGTTCGGTTTGATCGGTTTTTGGGGGACCTCCATGGTGCATTTTGTCGATGTGCCTCGGGTCGGCCAATGGGAGACCACCATGGTACATAGCCCTCCATGCTCAAGCACTAAAGTGCGAAGAGCATGTTGGGCAGGTCGGTCTGTGGAAGACCTTCATGGTACATAGCCCTCCATGCTCGAGCACTAAGGTGTGAAGAGCATGTCACGTAGGCATTTTGTTGACCTACTTTGGGTCACAACTTGGGGCGGACCGTTTGACTTGATTTATGTTGATCGTCTAAATCCCGACCTTAAAGTGCTCTTCACACTAAGGTCTTGATTGTCTAAATTACATTTTGTGAGAATTCTGAACATTATTCAGCAACTCCTCTCCCTTCAAAGTCACTTAGCCGAATAGGTTCTTAGAACTTCTTCTAGGAATTAGGTCAAATTGTGAGCAATCTTTTCTCCCTTGGCAAAGGTGCTTCCGGATTC